TTCTTATAGATATTTTATTTTACAAAATAGTGCTCAATGTAAATTTACAGAGCATTAATATTATAATATATATATATATATATATATATATATATATATATATATATATATATATATATATATATGAAAAATATAGTCTTAAGATGTGCTATATTTATGTGATAAAGTGCTCAATATCAGAGATAAAGCGTGTGTAAATATAAAAGTGAACATAGAAATCAACACTTTGAGGCGACAGCTTGTTTCATGCTAGATGCAATCGTTAGGCCACGAGTGCTGTTATTTTTCTCTGCTATTTATATATATACGAGTCAGTAGGCATTGTGGGTAGTCTATTTCGGCGGTTATTTTACCGGAAGTCGTTTATTTGTTTATTTATTCATTTGAGTTAAATTATTTTGCTTGTTTTCATTTATTTTTATTTTTTATTTGTTAAATTTTATTTCTTATCTTATCTATATATTTATTTATTTTATTTTAATTGGTGTTTTTATTAACGTAGTAAAAATTTGTTATATCGTTTATTTAATAATTTTGTTTTGGCTTGGGAAGATAATTAAAGCTATTTATTCAATTTTGGTGTTGATTGTTGTAGTTTATTCTATTATTTTGGCGGGAACAGATTTCGATTTTTTATTACTTAATGTATTTATTTGGATTGATTATCGTTATTTGTTTTTTCTAACGGTTAGTTTATCGGGATCGATTTGTTAGTTTATTTACTTATTTGGATGAATTTAGGTCAATTTATTGCACTTGTTATTATTTATTTGTTACAGTGTATATTTTTTCTTTTCGGTTTTCGATTTTTAATAACGTAGTATTTTTTTCTTTTATCGTTATATAACAGTTATATCTATTTTTTCGTTCGATTTTTGGTTTGATTTTTATAGTTTAACTAATATTTTGGTCATAATGATTTGTTAATTTGTTGATTATTTACTTTATTTATTTGGGTTCATTGATTTTGCTTCTTATTTTTTATTCTAATTCGTCTATTCTAATAGGTGTGATTCGGTAATTTGTTTGGGTTAATGTATTTTGCTTATTTTATTGTCATTTTGTTTATTTATTTTTTTTATTTTATTTTTTTTCCGTTTTCGATTTTTAAGTAACGTAGTAAAATTTTTTTTGTCTGCATTTTGAGATGAGCTCGGATCTTTTGTTTAATAATTTATTTTAAATAAACTAACAAACCTATCACAATAAATTGACCGTTAGAATAAAAACAAATAAAGATAATCAATCCAAATAAATACAAGAAGTAATAAAGAAATCAAAAAATAATAGTAAGAGTAAACTACAACAATCAACCCCAAAATTGAATAAATTGCTTTATCTTCCCAAACCAAAACAAAACTATATAAACAAATTTTTAACACGTTAATTAAAACATCGATTTAAAAAAATAAATAAATATATAAGATAAGAGATAAAAATAAAAAAATTAAAATCAAACAAAATCCAAAGAAATAAATAAACAAATAAACGACTTCCGGTAAAATAACCGCCAAAATAGACTACCCACAATGCACCACTGACCCGTATATATAAATTATATATAAATAGCCGAGAAAAATAACAGCAGTCGTTGCCTGACGATTGCATCTAGCATAAATCAGACTGTTGCCTCTAAGTGTTGACTTCTATGTTCACTTATATATATATATATATATATATATATATATATATATATATATATATATATATATGTGTGTGTGTGTGTGGGGGAAATGAATTAAATCCGACATATTTTTTAATTTATTTGTTTAAACATTAGGTTAAATGGCTACTCATATTTGAGTAGATGTTCTGCTATTTATTTATTAAACAGTATATTTGATCATTTATACATACCGATTTTAATATTATCCAAATCTTGTTCGAAAATATGCGCCATCCCTAGGGGAAATCGTTATTAGATCTGACGAGACGTTGACCACTTGGCCACGTAGGAACTCCAGATCCCCAAAACTCCAAATAATGCTTTTCATCACATATCTTCTCAAAATATACATATTTTTTTTACGTTAGGATACGAAACATAGCCTATAAACATGTACAATATATATATTTCGAGTATCGCGAAGATATATTCTAAGGCAAGCCATAACTAATGTCGGCTTCATTAAAGGACGGGGTTTTGAAGCCTGCCAGAGAGTGGATATTTTTCCAACAAGATTTCTCTAATATTCAGGTGAGTAGATGTTTGCTAAAAAACAAAAAAAAAAAAAAAAAAAAAAAAACAAAAACAAAGAGCATTTACTCAAATATGAGTATCCATTAAAATATCATTTAAATTAATGAAATTCGCACACACACACACACACACACACACACACACACACACACACACACATATATATATATATATGACGTTTAACTAATAATATATATATGTGTGTGTCTCTATATTTATATCAGTTACTTGAGATTTATTTATATAGGATATATATATATATATATATATATATATATATATATATATATATATATATATATATATTCTTCAGTATTTAATCATATATATCATATATATATATATATATATATATATATATATATATATATATATATATATATTTACCATTTTAAGGTTCCATGTAATAAATTATTTTACCACAGCCCTTTTAAAAGACTGCGGGTCATCAGGCTTTCTTCCAAAGGTTGAATTTTTTGTTTCAACCTTTGGAAGTAAAGTCTGATGATCCGCAGTCCTTTAAAAGGGCTGTGGTAAAATAATTTATTACATGGAACCTTAAAGTGGACTGTTTTTATATAAATTATTTGCTCTGGATTTACATTGAGCTCTCTGGATTTTATCCTCCTTGGGTTTACCAATACGGATTACCTAGTTTTTCATAAACTATATATATATATATATATATATATATATATATATATATATATATATATATTTAAAAATCACGGATGTCCGATGAAACCCGTGTATCCATTAAATATGACATTTATAATAAGAATAAATATTATCGAATTAATAAAAACAAATCCATTAAATCCTTCAAAAATTACTAGATAGTTATCGTGTATATATATATATATATATATATATATATATATATATATATATATATATATATATATATATGAATAAAAACAGACCACTATGGAACCTTAAAGTGGTCTGTTTTTTATTCAAACATATTTGCTCTGAATTTACATTGAGCTCTCCGGATATCATCCTCCCTGGGTCTACCCACAGATTACCTAGTTTTGCATAAACTACACACACACACACACACAGACACACACACACACACACACACACACACACACACACACACACATATATATATATATATATATATATATATATATATATATATATATATATATATATAAAACATTAGGCAGCATATAATTTATATACAAAGAAATACTCATACATAGAATCAATCAGCAATATTAATGCTATTATTGGCGACATCCTTCGCTAGTAGTGTATAATGTATGCATTAAAATACTATTAATCCATAGAGTGACGTGATCCTCATTTATAAAACTGTTGTCTGTTGTTTCCAGTTTATATTTTTTAAAATGCAAGTACTTTCGAGTAATCCTTTATTCATCGTCAGGCATATGTTTTCCTTATAAAATCAAAAACTTGAAGACGAAATAATTGTTTGTTTGTCGACCGAAAGATTTTTTTTGAGTATGTGCTATTATTGACGGTTGTGTACAATATCGGAACGTGCAAAGACGCAACGCTAAGTTTTTCAAAATTTTAAGTGAGAATTTTATTTGAATTTTTCTTGTGATGTGGTAAATCCACGTATTCTATTTTTACAAGTGTTTTCAGTTAATATGTCATGAACTAAGTACCTAGTTCAATAATATAGTGTAATGTCTTAGTAGTAGTTTTTTTTTATAGGATTTTTTTTTTTGTACTGCGGATCGATAGTTTTTATAAACATAAAACATTAGGCAGCATATAATTTATATACAAAGAAATAATTACACATAGAATCAATGAGCAATATTAATGCTATTATTGGTGACATCCATATAAACTGGAAACAACAGACAACAGTTTTATAAATGAGGATCACATCATTCTATGGATTAACAGTATTTTAATGCATACATTATACACTACTAGCGATGGATGTCGCCAATAATAGCATTAATATTGCTGATTGATTCTATGTATGATTATTTTTTGTATATATATATATATATATATATATATATATATATATATATATATATATATATATGAATACAAGGTTGGTGTCGATGGAATAAACTTCCAGTAACCAAAAACACTATTTTTAAAATAGACCTGAATTCAGAGTAGAGCGTATAATATTTTTTTTAAATTATAACATATGTTATAACATCACTACAAAAATAGGCATTTTGTTTTAACACTTCAGGTGTCACTTGCAACGCTATCACACCCGATGTGTTGAAACAAAATGGCTGTTTTTGTAGTGACGTTATAACATACATATGTTATGATTTTTAATTAAATATTATATATATATATATATATATATATATATATATATATATATATATATATATATATGTGTGTGTGTGTGTGTGTGTGTGTGTGTGTGTGTGTGTGTGAATTGTGCTTTCAGATGTGTCGGTGTATATGTAATATAAACCCTAATAATATATGGATTTATATGTATATATTTACCCACAAACGCGTATATATATACATACATATACATATATATATATATATATATATATATATATATATATATATATATATATATATATATATATATATGTGTGTGTGTGTGTGTGTGTGTGTGTCTGTGTCTGTGTGTGTGTCTGTGTGTCTGCAAAGGAGTCATCTCTGATTCCATATGCAACGACAAAAATGGCAAGACGAAAGGAGAAACGCATATATTTGCCATAAAACTTGATAAATAAATAAAAAATTAAACAAAAAATTACAATTCCAAAAATGTAATATGCGTGTGAAAAAAAGAGCTGCTTTCCGCCCTCCTGGTTCTCAAGGGTCAGGAAATTTTGGCAAAAGGAACGCTGGCGGTTGGGGTTTCCCCGGGATGTGGTTGGCGTTGGAGGGTTAGTGATTGGAGATGAGACGTGAGGGCGTTGTGAGACCGTGGAAAGTAGGAAAGTTGGACGTGAAAAAATAAAAATAAAGAAGCGTGGAGTGAGGCGGTTACGTTTCTCACAGACAGACACAGAGACAAACGGAGATCTTGGATTTCAGTGAAGTCAGATATTATAGATGACAGTTTTTCCTCGAATGCATCAACAAATTAGGAGCAAAAATCATACACAATTCACACAGTCACACACTCGCATACAGCTACAGATATTTATGTATTTTCGAAACGCTGTATTGTTTGGAAGCCAATAATGTATAATGAGTTCTGTTCCACACAACCTTGTCTTGTGGACTATAAATAGCCTGTGGCCATTTACTTGAGTTCAGTAGTACGTATTTGCCACAACGTATTTGTCGTAATTGTAACCGGTGCCAGTATGAGTTCCCAAATATCCCAGTATATCGAATACAGATATCACAGACACATAGCTCCTCTCCACTCTAGAAAATGAACCAAATCATTGTTCTTATCCACTTTTTAATGATTCGAGGCACCATCAGAAAAGAAACAGGCCCATTGGAAGTCATCGTTACCACCGCCAAGAAGAGGAATTAGAAATGGTATGGATACACCATATGAACCAATAATTTTTCCACTGTCATCCTGCAAGGGGTGCCCCACCTTTAGGAAAGAAGAAGCAGACAGAGGAAAAATGAGCTGCAAACATCATTCACAGAGACGACTACATTGGCACACAACCACAACACATGAGAGTAAATGGCTATGTGTTCAGCCATGCAGGAAAATCACAATCGTACTTAGTTATAGAACTGATGATGAAAATGATTATGATGTTGATGACAAAGAGTAGGAAATTGTGGAGAAAGGATACATTATATAAAGAAGAACCCAAAATAATAGCTTGCGTCACACACATCTTTGAAATTTTTTACAAGCTCTTGTTTATTCCAAACAGTATAATTTTGTGTGTGCGTGTGTTTGTGTGTGTGTTGTGAGTATTACCCCCACTTGGTTTGCCAAGACACCGTTAGGTGGCACTGTTTAATGAATATAAAAGAAGGAACAATATCGTCCTCTTTGCTTTTTCCTTCTTTTAACCTAGCACGTAGCAGTTAAAAGCACTAACACGCTCTCCATCTCCGCAGAGGATAATATCTTTCGTCTGTTCGACTGAACACACGCATACACATTGTTTCCAAAAATACACCATCAGTCAAGAAATAGGCCCGTTGGAAGACCGCATAACTACCGTCAAGGAGAGAAAATAAAAAGAGTATGAACACGTCATAAGGACCAGCAATCTCTCCACTGCAATCCTGCAAGCTGCCACACCTTTAGAAAAAGAAAAGGCAGACAGAGGAAAAAATGGACTGAAAGATTATTTTACATTGTCACACAATCGAGTTATATGGAGACAGCTAGTCAGGTGACCACACCTGGTCATGGAATTTAAAATGGTACTGATGGTGGTATATACTTCACAGACAGGCACACAACTGAGACGTATTGAGAAAACTAGACAGGTGTGTACATCTTGTCATTGGACTGAAAATGATGTTGACAATGATATATAACACGAGCTAAGAACAACAAAATGCAACAATATAGCATAAAACATCTAAAGCTATTTTTCTTAGACATATTCCTGAGAGTGGGTTGACCTGATCAGCACATATGCGAGTGTAACAGCCGAGAATATACAGCCAGCCCAGTATGTATATGAGGTTATGAATATAAAATTGGCTAGGCTAGATTCTACCCTTCCAAGGCCAGAATATACACCCGCCTTTTCTCATGTAATGTACCCACAGATGACAGTCGGGGATTTTATAGATCATGCAATGTTACATTTCCGCAAAGAATTCAACCCTCAGTTTTATTTTGATTGCTTGGTTTGTAGATTAGTAGGCCTAACTTCTGGATGACTAAAGAATGGCTTCTGGGTGCCTGGTTTCTGTTGAATGAGTACATATTAGTCATAACCAGTTTGGAGACTCGTGCCGTCATATCAGATTTTAGTTAAAAAAAAAAAACCAGTGATTCTAAGAGTAAAAGTCGGTATATACTGGCCTACTCGGGTATAGTTTAGACCAAGCTATTTTATACCCAGAAATATGATTGGTTTGGTTTGGTTTGTTTTACTCAATAGATTATTTAATGCCGACAGTTTTTATTGTGGTCATTTTTTTTTTTTCAAAATGTATTTCTGGGAATATTTTTCCTTCAAAAATATATAGATAGTAACATATTTTTCCAAAAATGTATAGCTGTATATATTGCTGGTAATCTTTTTTTTTTAAGTATTGCTGTTAATAATTTTTCCTTCAAAAATTAGTACTGGTAATTATTTTTTTTACAAAGTATTTCTGGTATTAAAACCTATTTTTGACTCTTTCATAGTATTTTGATCCAAGTTTGGGTGTTAACTATTTGCCCATAGTTGGGACCCTAACAGTTTGCACCTGGAAACACCAGCAATTAAGAGGTGGTTCCATGCTCCTCAAAACCTCTTGTTCAGAGGCCTTGCTGTTGGATGTAGTTTATCGTCTTACCCAGGACGGCCGAAGTATGAAGTAGTAATCATACCCGGTCGTTATTCTAAGCTAAGATAAACTATAAATTCTGGGGTGGTGTTAATTTTGGTTGCTGCAGAGGCATTTTGTTCTGTAATATCTGAAGGAGAGAATACTACTCGAAATCGGTGATGCCACAATACAGTTTAAATCCACATAGACTTCGAAGGAGAGAGGACTGAAAATCTCATGAGTACAAACACGGTGTTTTGACCTCACACGCCACTTCTACATTGCAGTAAAATCGGTAGGGTCAGGGATATATACGGATACCGGGATAGGCGGTCAAGGAAATAGGATTATTTTGGCATGAACCAATTTGCAATGCTACCTTGTAACGCTTAGTCGATCGTCGAGTTGCGCATTTCCTTCACACTCAAAACTAATCGCGTTTTCCAACTCCAGATGCAAATATAATCCCTATTCGTTTTAATCGGCGAAGACTGGGTGAAAACTGAAATCAGAAAACCAGAACTGACATTGGAAACTAACTAAATGATCAATATATCCCATAAGATTTTATTATGCAAATCAACGTTTTCAAAATAAAACTACTGCTAATCAATCGGTGTTGTCCTCGTCTTTATTGCCATATTCACGATATTTCAAGTGTTGTACGCTCCGGACTTCTTCAGGTAATAAATGGAATTTCGAACCGGACCCTTTATTTAGTCCATGGAGGTAAATTTTTCTAATTTCACGTTTGGATATCTCAGCTTTAGTTAATTCCCCTTGATAACCCAACTCTCCAAGTTCTGTTCTCTCTGCTATGGCTGAGGATTGAGCTCACAAGTCTTTTGGATCAATCAACCAACGATTTGACTAATGAGAGAAGAAACTGTTAGCATAGAACTTACGGTTATATATAGTCATTTAAACTTAAAATGATGAAACCTTGCCGCCAAATCTAGTACTGCGCTTAAATTTATAGCGTCTAGTTACCACAGAGGAAAGTTCATCAGAACAATCATCATGAAAGTATTTATAGAAAAAACATAGGGAAGACACATTACGGCGGTTGGAAAGTGACTAAAGCCGAGATGTCAGGTAACACTGAAAATTCTTCTTTGGATTTTATTACAAATTTCTAAATATATAGCAGGAGCACCAGACCAACTGTGGCTACAATATTCAAAGCATATAAAAATAATAGACTTCTAAATATATAAGATATAGTGAACCAAGTTTCTTGCAAACTTAGCAATTGATTCAATATAGTCATTTCCACGTATTTCCGCTGACAAATGTAGTCCAAGAAGGCGCAATGGGCTACTCTCCTGGAGATTATGAAACGTAAAAAGTGTTCTCCCAGATAATTAAAAAAAACCCAGCAGTTTCCTTTTTGAAGCGTTAAATTTAACTAGCCCTTTTTTTGCCCCAGTTAACAAAAGATTGCAGGTCATTTGTCAATTTGACCTTAACATCGAACCAGTCAGGCTTACTATTAAGACAGTAAATAGTTGTGTCATCAGCATAGATACCAAACTGAGAACTGATGATATCAGGGAGGTCATTTATGAAAATTAAGAATGAGACTCAAAACATGAGAATTATAATCTAAAAGGCATGGCAAAATAACGAAACGTGGAATTAGAAATAATGATGAAGACATTCTAACTAAATAAAGGAAATTCAATACCTCATCTGATAAATATAGACAGATCTCGAAGAAGGTCGAAGCGTATAACGACCGAAACGTTGTGAATATAGCAATAAAGATGAGGACAACAGTCCAAACAATGTAAGTAGTAGAAAAATAAATAAAAATTAATAAATATATTGAAAGGTGTTATTAACAAAGAATCAAACGCGCGCGCGCACACGCACATATACAGACACATACACACACATACAAACACACACACAAACACACACACACACACACATATATATATATATATAATTGTTTAAAATTATATATTTTCGGGGAAGAGTACTCAATATCTAAGAAAGTGGGTTTGTTTATCTCTTTCTCTCGCAATACACACGCACACACATATATATATGTGTGTGTGTGTGTGTGTTAGTGCGTGTGTGTGCGTGTGTGCGCGCATAGGGTGCGATGAGTAAATTATCGCCATTTTATATATTTAATTTCGCGCATTTTTGATGTTGTCGTTTGAACAGTGTAGTAGGGTTGGTTGAGCACCATCTGTGTGAAAAAGAGCACCATGATGCAATTCACTCCGCCAGGGATTTGAAAACGCCATGCTGTACTGCTTAACATTCACGAGAGAAGCTCCAGTACGAACATTTCAGGGTATTTGGTTGTCAATCTGCGGACAGTGCAGAGAATTCGGAAACAGTTGGATGAGTCTAATGGTGATTACGAAGGTATTGTAGCTCAGAAAACTCACTCCAAAAGTTTTGATGAAAAAAGAACTCCCGAAATTTTTGGTGAGGGCCTCAGACTCAAAACGGAGCCTATGTCAATTGCCTTGAGGTGGTAGTGCTGCCCTAGGTCAAGAGGTTGGCTGTTGGAAGACCCTATGTCTGACAACAGGACTATGTACCATGCCACACAAGCAGGAGAACTCAGTCATGGCTGTCAGACAATTTCTGCTACAATATCACTCCTTACATATGGCCCCTTAACTCCCTAGACTGCAACTGCCTTGATTATTATGCGTGGAGCGCATTTGAGCGAAAAAACAACAAAACTCCTTGTAACACCAAATATGAACTGAAGGCTAGAATTATGGCTACATACACAAAAACAAACAAGGGGATCGTACAGAAGAGTTGCAGGAGTTTCCGTCTGAAGGCTGTGGTTGAACCCAATGGCGATTTTATTCAATAAATTTACTCGTTAGTATTTCAAGATGTTTTTGTATAATTTTGATATATATATATATATATATATATATATATATATATATGTTAAAATGAGTTCAGTGTTATTTTCATTTTGCGTAATTTAAGTTGCATCCTATCTGTATATATATATATATATATATATATATATATATATATATATATATATAGAGAGAGAGAGAGAGAGAGAGGTCTCTGCACAATTGGTCGAAGAATACGATAATTTAAGGGACAATGAAACATATTTATCCGAAGATATTTTCTCAAATTTCTTCAATTATTCCCTTCAGATAGATAGATAGATAAATTGGTGACATGAGTCATCATTGCCAATCATCAACCAAAAGAAGATCTAATATATATATATTTCTACCAAATCAAATGTTTTTTTCCTACACCAGCAGAACTGTATTACTTTTTTATATCAGGGTAAGAACTCTTCAGGGACAAATGTAATAGAGATTCAATTCCTGTCTGAAGGCTTATTTTTTGTCACTATGACTTTATTTAGGTTGGTTGATATTAATTACATTGTTTCTACTGAAACCCATGCACCCACTGTGAATCACGGTTATATTAATAATAAATAATGGATTAAAAAATCCATATATATATATATATATATATATATATATATATATAATTTATTCGAAAATTATAACATAAATATGTTATAAAATCACTACAAAAATAGCTATTTTGTTTCAACATTTCTGGTGTCTTATTAAGTGCATTCAAAACCATCGCTTGCTAAGACACCAAAACTTTTGAAACAAAATGGCTATTTTGTAGTGATTTTATAACATATTTATGCTATAATTTTTGAAAAATTATATTTGCTCTACTCTTAAGTATAGTAATTTTTGTTTATTGAATTTATTCCGCATACCCCAATCCTATATTGGATATATATATATATATATATATATATATATATATATATATATATATATATATATATAGAGAGAGAGAGAGAGAGAAGATAGATACATAGATAGATAGATATTACTTGCTATCATAGTGGATACTCGTATTTGAAATAGCGGTCCCTTTTTTATATTAAATGTGTGTATTATTTCCATTGGCCTGCGTATTCGAGAAATCTCAATTAAGAAAGTGTGCTCTCCGGCATGGATCGACCCCAATCCCCACCCCCGCCACTTCGTAGAAAGAAAACATCATTTGATCTCCAGTGCGCTTTAGCACTTGATAACGAAGAGTGTCATAGTTTACCGAGGCGCTTATTTCCTTTGAAAGAATTTCCAACTTCCTCAATAATCTATTTTTCTCGAAAGCACATATCTGCACAGTTTCGGATCCGAATCGTACACAAAGAAATTTCTAAAGGATTATTGGCTTTTATTTTTCAGCCGACATTATATATATATATATATATATATATATATATATAGATAGATAGATAGATAGATAGTGCTGTCTTCTTCCATATCTTACCAGCAAACTCTTTTATCAAATCTTTTCATCTTCTATCTGGGCTTTTTTTTCTACAGAATTCTTTACCTACTGGGCACCATCAAGCCACCTTTTACTCCACCTATTATCTTTATCTTGCTTGGATGTGTCCAAGTCGCCTCCACTGTAGTAGCTCAATCATTTCTATATGTTGTACCCTTGTCAGGATTAGAAATTAAAACACATGACAGGAATTAAGTTAAACAAATATATTAACAGAAACAGTAATACAAACATATACAAACGAGAGTGTTACAGCAGGAATGTTCGGTCCGATGGTCAGAGCTGAGTACTGGAAACTTTCCTTGATTTATTATATAAAATATACAATTGTGGAATGAGACCTAACAAGTGGAATGGGGTTGAGGCTGGTCGTCACTTACTATCCTATACCTCAGCTAATCCGATTCACGACCCAATCACTAAATACATTTGGCACATTCACCACAAATACTCATCGCCAAGGAATCTTCCATAATACCGCATACTCACAGGGGGGCCTAAAAAACGCATCCCATGACATAAAAATTTCATGATTATAAAGTATAATAGAAAAAACAGATAAAAGTTTATACCTGATGAATAAGGAGCGAGGAGGGGATGAACCCCAAAACAAACTAAAATATCAAAACAAACAAACTAAATATAACTGATTTTAGTGGGACCCGTCCAACCCTCAAAAAGTAGAGGCCACTGTATTCTGCCCTTGGACAAAATCAAAAGGCCGTACACCTATTTATAGCTGGGAGAGTCCATTCGGGCGTCGGTAGATTACATAACGCTATATTATATACCTGCTGGCCCTCGCTATGCATTTACTGTAGTCAAACTAGTTTCAAAATTAAGTTTTCAAAGATTGCATGATACGCGAGCATATATGGTAATTACATTCATACATATACAGACACACACACACACACACACACACACACACACACACACACACACACACACACACATATATATATATATATATATATAAATACTTGGGCAGCATCCTTTCTTTAAGCATCTTTTATTAAATGCGGCCAACAAGGAAGATTTAATTAATTTTTTATTAATTTTACGGTTTTCCGTTTTGTAGGAGTAAGGGAGTACAAAAGGTTTCCATAATTTGTATTATACCAAACGCTTTATGTGTATGTGTATGTGTGTGTGTGTGTGTGTGTGTGTAAACATTCAGGTATAAATAAAATATATCCGTAAGGATAATATTAACGAAAGAAATGAAAATTTTCCTCTTCACACACACACACACACACACACACACACACACACACACACACACACACACACACATATATATATATATATATATAAGAAAATACTTGCCTCCGATATGATCTGATTTGAGTAATAACCTTTCTCCAATTTCTTGTAAAAGAAAAAAAAAAATATATATATATATATATATATATATATATATAGCAGAAAGACAGAGAGAAAGAGAGAGAGAGAGAGAGAGCAATGCAGACTTATCTTTATACAATGAGTTTCGAAAACCAATATGTGTGTAGTAAAGTCGATCCTCATAGGGTGCAATTTTATTATGACATTCTTCTATACTATACTGAGTTGTAGCATTGGAGATAAAATTAGATATGGTGTCAACGTAAAAAAAGTGTATATGTAAATTTACATATACATATTTTTTCATAAGTTTACAACGGTTTACGCATCTGCATATATCTTCATATGCACTTACGTAAGTGTAAGCTTGTGTATGTATAGACTTCTCTATATATATATGAGAGATGGGGAGAGAGAAGGAAGTAAAAGAAAAAATATATATAAGTATCTCTATATAGGTATAAACACATACACACACACACACATAGGTTCTTTGTCTATCTCTTTATCAACAAATGTGTGAGTTTACATACAAGGTTGCAATTATTTCCAGCTGTGATGCTGAATATAAAAGAAAAGGACAATGTGGGAAGGCGAAAAAAAAAAGAAGAAGAAGAAGGGGATCATTAAATGAAACAGCCGGGGGAAAAAGAATGAAACAGGAAGAAAGGGAGAAAGATAAAAGAAAGCTACATTATACACACATAAACAAACAAGCAACTCGTCTGCACATATGGCTTTTCAAAGGATTTAACTTGTATATTGACATATATAAAGAAATACGTAAATATGCACACGCGCACACCTCGATATGTATATATATATATATATATATATATATATATATATAGAGAGAGAGAGAGAGAGAGAGAGAGAGAGAGAGATAGATAGATAGATAGATAGATAGATATAGATAGATAGATATTGGAATGGACTGAGACAGAAAGATATATAGAGAGACAGCTACAGATTGAGTGATATTGGGAAAGACTGAGTTAAATAGATAGATAGATAGATAGATAGATAGATAGATAGATAGATAGATAGATAGATAGATAGATAGAAAGAGAATAGAATAGATAGATAGATAGATAATAGATAGATAGATAGATAGATAGATAATGAAAAGCGAATAGAATAGATAGATAATGAAATGAGAATAGAATAGATAGATAGATAGATAGATAGATAGATAGATAGATAGATAATGAAAGCGAATAGAATAGATAGATAGATAGATAATGAAAGCGAATAGAATAGATAGATAGATAGATAATGAAAGCGAATAGAATAGATAGATAGATAGATAGATAGATAGATAGATAGATAGATAGATAATGAAAGCGAATAGAACAAATAGATAGATAGATAGATAGATAGATAGATAATGAGAGAGAATAGAACAAATAGATAGATAGATAGATAGATAGATAGATAGATAGATAGATAGATAGATAGATTCAAAATTCGCTACAAAATACTGCCTCATATATTATGTTAGCCTACATCATCTGATGGTGATGTTAGTCTTAAGGCGGTAGAAATTTAAACATTCCACCAATAATCCATGTGTATTGTCTTGTAAAAAATTGCAACTCAATGGCAATCTGGCAGAATCATATCTGATATGTAAGCGCGTGCTAATGAGAAGGTATTATTGAATTCCTGCATACGAAAAAGATTGTACCTATTAAAATACAGCGACAGTTACTGAATGGTTATGGAGGCAAAATAATGTATATGAGCACAGTTGACGTTGGCTAATCTGTTTGAACAGTAGTAACGTTCCGTATGATTCTGCACAGCCGTAGAACCACATTTTGTTCATTCCTGACGTAGATACATAGAAAATAGCGTTGACTTTGTAGGACAAAAGAGTTTTGTAGCTGAAAACCTGCTTTACCAAACGGCGCTACTATGTTTCTTGCATCTATTATAGTTTACGTGGAATTAAAAGTGGTATACAAAAATAGTAAAGAATAGAACGGGAATGATATATAGAATAATGAAGTATACCATGGGATTGGCATATAAAATAATAAAGAATACCATTGAAATGATATCTAAAATAGTAAAGCATACGATGGGAATGGCATATAAAATAGTAAAGTATACCACGGGAATGATATTTTAAATACTTAAAAATACCATGGGAATGTCATATAAAAATAATAAAAAATACCAATGGAATGTCATCTAAAATAGTAAAGAATACTATGTGAATGTCATATAAAATAGTAATGAATACCATGATAATGACATTTGAAATAGTAATGAATACCATGGGAATGGCATAAAATAATAAAAAAAATACCATGGCAATGGCATGTAAAATAGTAAAGAATACCATGGGAATAACATTACTTTCGGAACATCCCCCTGTTAATAAACAGATAAATAGATATGATCGATTTATATTCGCTAAGAACAGCGTTCAAAAAGGTTTTCAAATCGAGAGACTGCTGGCCAACTTTTGAAGTTCGGTATTTTTACTTGCTATGAAGAAAGCCTTTTGGAGACAGCGGAATATATAAATATACACACACATACATATGCATACTTGTGTGTAGGGAGCCGAAGTTCTGTTTTCGTATAGGGCTTTTAGGAAGTCGGTCGGGTCGAGAGCTTTTCAGTACACCCGCCTCTCTTGTCCATACAAATTTATGAAAAGATTATAACTTTCAAATTCTTGTCCAAGACTTGGGAAAACATCTGACATGACGTATTGTAATAGCGTAGTTCTTTGGGAAAATGCACTGAAAAAACAAAAACCAAAAAAAAGAATGGAAGAGACTATCAGTGTGAGGTCTGCAGTCGACACCTGGGGTAACGGAATTCCGTGGACTTTGTTCAAGGTGAATAGTATCAAGAACAAAATTGTTTCCTCTGAATAAACCCAAGTCTCTCTTGGTGGTAAACACCAATAGAGACTTTTGTCTCTTCGGCAATTGGTATAATTTGATTAGTACACCGTATCATTTTCAAATCCATGATTACCCTCATTGCCTGACGCCGCGTGAATATTCTACAAGAAGACGGTGAACATTTCTCAGTCTGACTCGCTTCCCAGCGTCTATGATCTGGAGGCAAAACAACAATACAAACAACAGCGGCACTCGGGTTCACCACGGTTGAAGAAATTAAAAACCCCAAAGTCAGTAAAAAATGGAAGGGAATACGTTTGTTTTTTTGTTGCTTTTTTTTTGTTTGTCTTGGTAGAAAGAAGGGCTAGGGAAGTCATTTCGGTGATTGACGATATTTAGACGGGCCGAACAGTTAATGGAGAGCATTATTCTTGATGGGCTGATTAAAGTTTTTGAAAAAAAAAGCAACAAAGAATATCTTCAGAAATGTATTCTCTTTTCTATGGCAGAACAATGCACCTATTGACAGGGCTGGCAAAGTGATGGATATTTTGAAGAATTTCAATACATAGACTAGTGTTTCTCAATCTTTTTTTTTTTTTTACTTCAGAGCGCACTCGTAGAATAATCTGGGGCGCATTTTAAATTTTAATAAAGAAAGATTAGTTATGAAATTTGAAAATATGAAATTTTGGTTTAGTATTTCCAAAGATTAGCGGTGCAGTTTTGATTAAAAGGCATTTATGAAGAATCTATTTTTTTTTTTAGAGAGGCCAATAATGACTGATTTATATCCCTTGAGGGAGGCAAAAGGGGAAGGATTATCCACTCCTTCCTGAAGATTAAGGGATTTGGTACCTAGTTTAAAATATCAAATGACAAAGACTTGACTTAGACATGGAATCCTGGTCTCTCTAGCTTTTTAAAAATAAAGATTTTTTAAAGTATAAAAATAATTCATAAATTACTCTTTTGTTAACTTGCCGTGCATCTATCTTTTAGGGTGCATCGGTTGAGAAAGGCTGACTTAGACCATGGCAGAGTAAACATTCTTCATGTAAAATCACATTGTTGACATCTCTATGTCAAGTTATCCTCCCCACAATTACAACGATTATTGTACACAACGACAATATAAATAACAATCGATCATGTTATTTCTGTCTATATTTCTGAAATAAGGTATTATAACTATTTACACTGTTGAAAAAGTTCGGGCGGTTGTCCTCATCTTTATTGCCATATACACGACGTTTCGGCCATTTTACGCTCAACCCTTCTTCCTGTGATATACATGGCCCAGTGGATAAAAACTTTGGTTTGGCGGCATTTATTTATATGCTAATGCTATTTTACATTTCTACCAATTTCTGGTATATATATATATATATATATATATATATATATATATATATATATATATATATATATATATATAAAAGAAAGAACAGTAAGATATATAATCCGGTGTTCTTATAGATATTTTTATTTTTGCAAAATAGTGCAGTAATTTTAAAAGTTACTCCAAAATTCGCTTGAGGATGAAATTGAAATAATGTCTTTAATTTAATTACAAAATTAAATTCGTAGCCTTTAACTTCCATTTTTGAAACATGGTAGCGAACATGTGTAGCGAAAAAAACATATTTTAAATCAATTAATTTATAATATATATATATATATATATATATATATATATATATATATATATATATATGATATATATATATACTTTGTTTTTTTTTAATTCCATGACTACAACGGATAAAAATTTAAAAATAATAAAATGTCTATAACAGAGCGCATTTACGTTTGTTTAAAAATCCCTACGACAACGGAACGCAGGTTTTAAAATAATTAGCATAAATGCACAAACACATAAAAAAAATATTATCCATAATATTTTACATCATGGGTTTTTAGTAGATTCCCCTGTATGTGGCATTTTAGTAAATGTAAGATTGGATGAAAAGGGTTGTATTCTTGAGGTGAATGAGTAAATTGTAATGAATCAGATTAACTAGGTTTAGTTTAGTCAATGGTAACCAGACTCACCCCATTTTCTCTTCGACCTTATGCCAAAATTGTACATAAAAATACAACAAATATACACAAACTTTCGTCAGTATTTCACTTAATCGTAATTACAATAGCATGTTTGTCTTTTATTGTAATTTACTCCAAAAGATGATCTTAAAAAAGTCGAAAGTACTTGGGTTTAAAAAGACAAAAACTACGGCGCCTTCCTTAATGGATTTCCTCTCAACATCAAGAAACTGATTAGACAACTGAAAAGAATCAGTATAAAAATAAGTAGACACAATATGAGTCAGGAGTTCAACCATTTGTATAAAGAATATGTTTTCTGTCTCGTTATACAAATATCTGGTCATGTTAAGATACCGTGTCCTGGTTTTAGATGCGATTTTCGTGGTTCCTACAGTAATCCATTTGTTTTATTTCCAACGAGTATCTTGTACAAAATGACTTGAAAAAAGAAATCAAATATAAATGTTTCCAACACTATCCGACAATGAAGTGTGTCTTGAGAAAAATAGATCATGCGGAGTCCAACTCCCATCTTGATTACGGGCACGTGACCATTGATTCTATCTTGGCTATTGACTTCAGTGTATGAAGCCTTACGCTCAGCGATGCTATGTCATCACCACTGTGGATGCATTGCCAGCAGTTCAGTCTCATGTGCAAATTTAGCCTGTAGTCAGTCGAAATTCGTTTTAGTTACCGTAGCTCACTTGAAGTCCCCCCTCATACACACAGACACTAGTGACAGCCTTAGAACGGTTACACATGGTATTGCCCGGTATTTTTTTTTATTTACAGACCTTAAAAGGAGTTTGTAAAGGAAGAAATGTTCAAATTATTCAATGGTGGCAAGAGCAGCAGAGCAGTATTTCAATAAACAAATATCAGATTTTTTGTTTTTGTTTTGAAGGGTTAAAGAAACTGGCGAAATATTCTGTTAAGTGTGTTGAATTGTTAGGAGAATATGTGGAAAGACATGCAGATTTCATGTCTCTACGTCTTTTCCTTTGTGGTTTGTCTGAGAACGTTTCTGCACTCGCTTGTATTGTCACCAAGAGAAATGTGCAAACGACAAAGCGTTCACCCGATGATAAAAAGAAAAACATGCTCAGTATGATGAAGGCTTTGCGTTACTAACACCAGAAACGTTTCTTTGAAAAGAAAGTAATTAAGTGTTAAGTAAGAGAAACAACTCATCAATCCTCGCCACTTTGTTTTGTTTGTTTTTATCATTATCCTAAAAGCTTCTTTGAAATTTCTTACGCAACCAGTCAACAGTATTGCATCGTTTACAAACAAGTGAAACGACTTCCACATGAACTTACCTGAACAAACAACGGTCAGCGTTATTTATGTTGTTCAACAAACATCATGTCACGTCAGGAGTTGCATAACCTATTAGGGTCATAGGTCTATTACATATACTGTAGCTAAGGCAGTATTGGTGTGTCTAGCACTACATAGCCTGATCACTCTTTAGGAGGTTTTTTCATTTACAGATTTCCTTCTATTAGATTGGTCACCACCTCACGAGAAACCAGTCATCTCTGATGTTTAATCCTTAAAGGAGGGGCAAAGAGATGAATTCTTCTCTTTCCCAAGAATATTTGTGAAACTCAACCAGAATTCGAACTTGAATCATCAATTCGCTAACCGCTAAACTATCCGCACAACATGCGAACATGCCATATAAGACAAGGATGTTTCTTCTCACCGGACTTATTCAACCAGTGAGACGATTCGGAGAGAATTAGACATCCAACCAGGATTCATTACCGGCGGCCAGAATCTTATCAACATAAGAAATGCAGATGACACAGTGTTGATAGTAGATTCAGTACGGAAACAAGACCACTTATAGAAGATAATGAAGGAAAACGAGAAGAAAGGACTAATTGCAAGAAGACATGGTTGTTTGCAAATGGGACAGACTACCATGCAAATTAGAAATTGAAGATACCAAAATCAAACGAGTATTAAAATTGAAATATCTGGGAAACAGAAGATGAAAAGTGCGACACTGAAATCCGAAAGCGTATTAAAATAGTGAAAGATGTCTACCAAAAATTAAGTAAAGTATTAAGAAGCAAGGGAGAGAGTCCTTCTATATGGCAGTGAATGCTGGACAATCTCCTCACGAATGAAGAAGAGATTTGAAGCAATAGAAATGTGGTTCTACAGAAGGATGTTGAGAATACTATGGGCATGTGAGCAAGGACGAAGTTTTAGAGAAAATAGAAACGAAAAGTTCGCTTATATTTAACATCAGGAAGAAACAGTTGAAATTTCACGTTTTGCGTATATTTTTTTCTGTAAACGGAAGAGGAAGCTTGGTAAGAGTTAATGGTATAGTAAAAAAATGAATTCTTGTAAAAATATTGGATGTCAACTTGAAAGTGTCAGTTGGAAATCTAAAACTGAAGTGTGGTTGGAACTTTCTACACGACAATGATCCAAAACATGTTTCTAAATTAGTTCCAGAAATAATATTAGCGATAAGAATCAGAAAATTTTACCTTGGCCATCAAAGAGTCCCGACCTGAATCCAAATGAAAACTTATGGGATGAATTGAAAAAATATGTAAGAACAAGACAGGAAAGATTCAGCAGAGAAAGTGCGGCTGTTTCCACTAATTTAGTAAATGTTTACCAAAAAAAAAAAAGATTTGCAAAAAAAAAAACGAATGCAAAAAGGAATGTACAATTGACTATAAATTCTTTTGTGCCATTAAACTAAAGCAGAAAGTCATTTTGCTTTTGTTGGCATTTACTCCAAAGTGAATATTATAAATACCTGCTTGTATATTTATCAGCATTTTGTCTGTTTCTCTTTTTTATTCTGTTCTTCAGAAAATATGTACTAATCAATTATCTTTGAGAAAAGAGAGTGCCAATAAATTCAATATATCTATATATAGGTATACCGGAATAAATGTGTATGCAACCAAAAGACTTGTGCAGATAGATCGATAAATAGATAAACAGAGAGAGAGAAAGAGAGAGAGAGAGAGAGAGAGAGATCTGTTTAAATGAACCAACGTCAAATGGGTCGGAAGCGGCTGAAAACATTTCAGTAATAATTTATGTGTTTGGTTTGTTTGTTTAGCGGCATATCAACACCTTATGGGTCATTTAATGCAAAAATTTATTTCATTGTCAGTTTCGGTATTTTTTCTTTTCCCAAAATGTATTGCTAGTACATTTTTTCAATAATGTATTGCTGGTATTTTTTCTATTGTAATATAACATATTCGTGTTTTGACCCCAGTTTGGGTGGAGCACTATTTCCTATAGTTGTGATCCTGACAGGTGCTACAACACTGGGTACGGATGGAATTGGGAACAACAGCAATTAATAGGTCGTTCCACGCTCCTCAAAACCTCTCAGTCAAAAGCCTTGTTACTTTTTTTATATATATATATATATATATATATATATATATATATATATATATATATATATGTGTGTGTGTGTGTGTGTGTGTGTGTGTGTGTTTTTAGAGAGATAGTGAGAGACCAAGATTGAAAAGACCCAAATCTTTACCGTTAATATTAATTACACGCTCAAAACGAAAGTCAGTGATTACAATCAATTACGGTTGTGGCTTTTCGGTCATGGAATGCGTCTCTATTGTTTCCTGTATTGGATTTCTATTTGGGGATTTTCTGGTCTGCAATATTGTGCACTTTATGTTCTCTCTCAGTTTTCCTTTGTCCTGATTCAGTCGAGTTTTGTTGGTTTTGGATCTTTTAATTGTGCCTCTTTTTCTGTTTATTCAATACTAACTCCTGCTGATTTTTCTTGATTGGGCCTTCATCAGGAGTAGATACGATAGGCAGCAATAAACTAAAGAAGAAATCAATATTGATCGCTGCATTTAAGTATTACATTAATATTTAAGCTTACCTTTTAAAAGTTCAACGATAGTTCCTCTGCCGACACTGAATTTAAAGACAATTTGAAGTACGTAGGTCCTTACTTTCCATACAAACAATTATTTTTATTTCAGGGCTGACTTTCGCTGGATTTAGCAATTAATTTTGATTAATCCCAAATTTATTTCCAAGTTATAAAAATTGTTATCGTAGAAAAAAATTTGTCGCAAAAAATGACATAAAAATCACTGAAAACAATCGCAGTAATAAAAATGTGGAAATCCCAAATTTTAAGATTTCTAGTCCGGATACGGCCTAGAATATCTTTAATTTGCTGACAGAATCGGTCAGATATCAAAATGGTAAAATTAAATTTGAAAAAAAAAATGCGTCACATTGATACACAGACATTCGCATCTATCTATCTACTATGTATATTTCTCATGTTATCTGTCTGTGTGTCTGTCGTGGGCGTTGTTACCTCGCCCAGGCCGCATTTCTCACCCGATTTCGATGCGGTTTTCAACACAAGTTTGCAAATGGCTGCCGTAAGGACATGACGGAGCCCGATTTTTGAGTTCGGAATCAGGTTCCGAAAAAATCGATAATCGAAAAAATCGAGCAGATTTATGAAGAGGCCATTGGGAGTCATCATCTGAAGTTTCAACGCTGAGCACCCCCCAAACAGAGGGCAAATCGACAATCGGTCAACCCTTAAAAATGTTTTTTCCGGTTTTTTAAAGCTGATCGTATTGTGTTTATTTTGTTTAGTTCTTTTTTTGTAACAGATTTAATGTTTACTATAGAGCTTAGAAACAGTTGGCAGTGTGATATAGGCAAGAAGTAAGGCATGTAACAACATCAACACGGCAAAGGGCACTCCTCTAAAGGCAAGGAAGTGCCAAAATATTTTAAGTCAAGTGATAGCGATTGCTGTATTAGTCGTACTATTTTTGAATCAAACACGGGCAACGCCGGGTCATGCTGCTAGTTTATTATATAGATAGAAGATATTGAGAAAGATCAGTAATATGTATATGTCGTATTTTTATTCATGAGTATACACGTTAACAAGTTCGTAGCCTAATGATGGAAACTATCTTTTTTACAGAACAAATATTTTTCAACATAATATACATCAGTGTCAATACACTTAATCCAACACTTCTTCATTAGTTACACCAACGAACATTATAGAATAAAACAATATAGCTAATAATAATACTGAGTCACCCTTGAACTTTACTAAGTTTGGCAAGTTTGATAGTGAGATAAGAAAGGAAGAGAAAAAAGGGGGAGAAAAAAGGGAGAATAAATGACCGATTTATTTTATATACAGTAGCAATCAGAAGGCAGTTTAAACTTAAAGAAAACCTTCTTAAATGTATAAACAAAAAGATTTTTATATTAAAAAAAGAGATAAACGCATTTATATGAAAGAGAGAAAATTCAGAATTAAAGATATATTAAAATAAACAATATACCAGAAAAAATAAGAAGAAAAATATAAAAATTAATATATTGAAATGATTATATTAACTTAAGAAGACGTATCTCCTTTAACATCTACATTTAAATCAACATCTTTTAAATTAAACCGATATTAAATAATTTCCATCTACAACTTAAAAAAAAAACAGTTATTTACCATCTAAAATATAATATAATGAACGAATAAGAGGAAGATTAAATAAACGCAAAAAACTAGCGAATGAAGAAGTACCTTTAGAATAATATATCACCTGGATATCTCCTGGATATATCAGTATGAGTTATCTTCAAGAGCATATGGTCCAGTCGATAAAAGCTTTGGTTGAAGTAATCCAGTGACTTCATTATGAGTTCAATACCTGGCTGCAGAAGAGGAGAATAAAAACATGGAGAGTTGAGTTAAAGGGAGATAACTGATTCTGAGATATCCTGAAATAACCTGAAGAAGACCGGAGCGTACAACAGCCGAAATGTCGTGAATATGGCATGATGAGGCCTACAGTCTGAACTATGTAAATAACGCTAGGGTAACCGTTATTTTTCCTACATGACTTCATGAACTTCACTTTTTTTTCTTACGCTCATTCAATGCCATACCATAACACTCTTTAGTCTTTGTATTGAGTGAACATTAGTAAAAAAATGTTTTTTTTCTTAACTGAACAAAATAATTGCACACACAAGCGCGTACATACAAGGGGGGCGGCTGAAAAGTTCATACGCTGACCAAGATATAAATGTAAGTTGACGTACCATTTGGTAGATTAAATACAAGTGTACTAGAATAAAATAGTAGGTCGGGCAGAGAGAGAAAGAGAGAGAGAGAAAGAGAAATAGAAAGAGAGAGAGAGAGAAAGAAAGAAAGAGAGAGAGAGAGATGAACGTGTGAATCAACACTGCATCGTAACTGTTGGCTTCAATTACCAATTACGCTTCACACATCGTCTGAAGATCGCATTGAATCGTGAAACTCGTAACTCTGCTGTGTTGATCCACTCTGACTATATCAATAAATGTTCTATCTCAGATATTGGACACAATCCCGCTTATATATATATATATATATATATATATATATATATATATACAGTGTTATGGGACCTTACCCATAATAACATAATGGACTATTCCATACATAATAAATACTGTGCCTCAAGAGGAAGCAGAGAGTTCAGCCTGAAGTCGGGCGACCGGCTGACCGGCTGATCGGTTGAACTCTCTGCCTTCGGGCGGGGAGGAACCCGAACGGAGCTACGCCGAAGGGCGGAGTCTCTTTCGGGGAGGTAAACCGACCCTGAACCCGTTTATACGGGTTCAATGGGCATATTTTTGGCCGGGCCCACGGGCTCGGAGATCTCACGTTAAACTGGCCTTGTGCCACATGATGCCCTCGTTGCGGGGGTGACTAAATATTGTTCAACCTGAAGTCTGGAGTGAGGTCCGTCAAGAGTCTGTCAGTCAGTCAGAGCGAGCGAGTCAGTCAGTAGAGTCAGAGGCAGACCGAAACAGAGTCGTGTTCAGACAATTACTACTAAACCTGATTGTTGGTACTAACACTTTTCTACTTCTCTGTATATATTCCTGTTTGTAATATATCTGTGTTATTCCATATCCATTTATTGGTTCTACCTTCAACTATCACCGTGGTACAAGGAACTCGACCATAACAGACAGTGACAAAGGAGTGTAGGATGGACTGTGGTTGAAGTATAGACACGCTAAAGAGTTAACCTCTCAGCTGTCAATGCGCCTCGTACGAACTTCGAAGAAGGTTGCCCCGGATAGAAGTAACTGGATATATTTGTACCGGAGTGGTATCGGAAATTTTTAAATCAATCGTATTGATCGACTAAGAGACGAAAGACAACAGCTAACAACGTCAGCAAATATTCCTGTTGCTATGTCACGAGATCCTCACTGTTGCACAATATGTGGACTTGTATGCACGTCACTAGCGCAACTGAAGTGTGACATACAGCAAAAGCATAAACACTGAATGAGGTTGTCGGATCCTCATACGTCGAAACCGAAGGAGAATTTATCATATATATATATATATATATATATATATATATGTGTGTGTGTGTGTGTGTGTGTGTGTGTGTGTGCGTGTGTGTGTTGATAATTTTTTATATAAATTACGTAAAAATGAAAATAACACTGACATCAACTTTTAACAGATATATTTACCAAAATTACACAAAAATATCTTGAAATACTAAAAAGTAAATTTATTCAATCAAGTCGCCATTGGCTTCAATCTCCTGTAACTATTCTGGACAGTGTCTTTGTTTAAGTTGGTGAATGTTACCATAATTATTGCCATCAGCTCATCTTTGGTGTTACAAGGAGTTTTGTTGGTCTCTAGCTCACCTGCGCCCTACAAATAATAACCAAGGTGGTTGCAGCCTGGGGAGTTAGGTGGCCAGATGTAAGGGTTGATACGGTCGCAGAATTTGTCTTATAGCCATGACTGGGTTCTCCTGCTTATGTGGTATGGTGCAGAGTCATGTTGCAAGATATAGGATCTTCTAGACCCAGGGTAGCACTACTTCCTCAAAGCACTTGGTTTAGGTCTCTGGGTTGAGGCCCTGTGGGAAGATGACTGGAGGAAAAATGTTGCCATCACTAGTGATCACACCAAACGCCTTCGTAATAACCATTAGACTCATCCAAGTCTTCCCGAATCGTCTGCACTGTTC